TGTTGTTTTCAAAGAACTAACTTTTGGCTTCTTTGTTTTTTCTCTTTTTAAAATTTTTTACCTCTATTCTTTTTTTTTTTTTTTTGCTTGCTTGTTTTATTCTTCTCTTCTTATTCTAGGTTCTTAAGGTAGAAGATTAGATTATTGACTTGAAATTTTTCTTCTTTTCTAATCTAAACCTTCTAATACTACAAATTATCCTCTAAGCACTACTTTAACTGCATCCCACACATTTTGTTATGTTGTATTTTCATTTTTGTTCAGTTTAAAATATTTTCTAATAGTTGTCTGTTTTAACTCATCAATTATTTAGACACACAATTGGTCCTTGAACAGTCTAGGTTTGAATTGTGCAGATACACTTATACACAAAATTTTTTTCAATAAATGTACTACAGTAATGTAAATGTATTTTCTCTTCCTTATGACTTTCTCAATAACATTTTCTTTTCTCTAGCTTACTTTATTGTAAGAATATACTATATAATACATATACAAAATATACATTAATTGACTTTTTATGTTATTGATAAGGCTTCCAGTTGAAAGTAAGCTCTTAGTAGTTAAGTTTTGGGGAAACTAAAAGTTATGCATGGATTTTTAACTGTGTGAATGGTTGACACCCCTAATCCTGTGTTGTTCAAGGGTCAGCTGTAAATTCCTTAATTTCTAGGTGTTTGAATATTATCCTGTTATTCTTATTTTATTTATTTCTAGTTTAATTCTATGGTTAGAGAATACATGTTCAATTATTTTAAACTTGTTAAGGTTTGATTTATGGTACATGATATAGCTGATCTTGGTGAATGTCCTATATGTACTTGAAAAGAATATTCTATTATTTAATTTTGGAGTCCTTATATAATTGTTTTATGCATTCTACCCAGGTTTATAGCTGCATTCATTGAGAGAAAAAGAGTGATTATGCTTATGGTTATTATTTTAATCAGAATTAGAGTCTTCCATGTCACTTTGCTGACACTTTTGATTACTGATAAATATTCTTTTCTGAAGTATTCTTCACAAGGGTCCATTAATGGTTCAAACACTGGATAAAAGATTGATGGTGAAAATAACTTTGATTTCTTAATAAATGCCATCTCTCCTTTTCTGTAAAATAAGATGATTAATAACTTGTCCTATGCCCTTTAGAAGCTTGTTTGTCATCTTAGGTGAGCATACATACAAGATCTGCTCAAACTTTATTAGTAAGTTAGAGAAGTAAGTTAGATACAGTTACTGACTTTATCAGTAAGTTAGGACCTGTATGGGTCAGGGCTCAAGAAGGGAATTTGGCTACAGGGCTGACCTGGCATGGAGATGACCATCTAGGGTTTGTGGCTTGGTGTTAATGACCAGGTTTTCAGTGGACAGATCATAGCAAAGGACATCTGTCCGCCAGGAATAAAGTGGGTGATAAGAGCATTGTGGTAACAGGAGGCTTATCCAGCTTGGGAAGACCTTACAAATTTCAGGGGATAAATTCAGGCTTTTGTAAGAGTGCTGAAAAGCACCAGGTTGAAGTTCAAAGCCTCAGCTAGGTTGGTGGGCTTCAGAGAGTGACTGGGATCGGGGTATGGGCTATGTGTGGAATCAGGAAACTGAGGGAGAAATCCAGCCCTGTGGCCTGGAGAAATGTGCAGAAGGAAGGCAAATGTGATTCATAGGTAATTCCAGGCTTGGGGCAGCAGACCTAGTTTCAGCCTGTCACCTGTGGACTGGGTGAGAGAATCCTGGTCAGAGCTGATGCAGAGGTAAGGAGATCCCGAAGCTTATTAAACCTAGAGAATGCAGGCAATGGAATGATTCATAACCAGGAGTTACTGTTAAAGTGGTGACCACACATTAACAGTCATCATTAATATTGTTGTGGATTACATAGAAATGAGTGTATATTTGAAACTCTTTGCCAGGTAGTATAGACATCCGAGTTGATATATCAGGAAACAATGAAATTAAATATGAAAGAAGTACTCAGATCTAAGAGCAGACTATGAAAATGATTATATAGTAGGTAAAATGGGTAGCGTGGAAAAGGCCGACTGGGAATTTATTTTTGTAAGTTGCAATCATCTGAAGCAAGGGCAGAGTCTTTTAAACACCATGGCAATAATCTAAAGCTAGGTTGTAATTCAGACCATGAGAAACCGTGTGTTATTAGGCAGGTTCCTTTGCTTTCTGACAGCTTCTCCATCTCTGAAAATATCCAGCACTCTCTCTCCCCAAGAAACAAGAACCAAAAATGTATGACTAGTCACAATAATAAAATTCTGAGAGAGAATGCAAGAGGATGTTAAATGAACCAGCCAACCTCCTCCCACTAACCTTGGTACCTTTAGTCTGTCAAAACCAGCCTGCACAATCACATTTCCTTCTCAGTCTCCTTCATTCTAATTCATTGCAGGACAGGAGTGACCCTGGATTTGTGTTTGCACACAGGTTATCTTTAGATTGGCTTTACCTTGATGACCTGACTCCTTGCTGCTTCTGACATAATCCAGTTACTCAGGGGAATATCAATTAAGGCCCTCAATCACACTAATTAGAATGTCTTCTAAGTGTTGCCCTAGGAATTCAGCAGCTTATAAATAGGCAAATTGGGAAAATCTAGAGGTGTGAGTTTTGTTTTGTTTTGTTTTCATAGCCGAAAGCAATTTAGGAGGTAGAGTGCTTTAGCATAGCTGAATATTGGAGCTGAAGTTACTGTGCCCTGAATCTGCAATGAAATGTCTAGCTGTTTTCCACTGACAATGGATTAATGTGGAATTATTAATAACTTATATTAATGAGTTGGATGAGGACATAGGTGGCATGCTGATCAAGATTATAGATGACACAGAGCTAGGAATTAAACAATTATTTTGATGACAAGCTCAGGAGACAAAATGATTTTAAGACAGAATATAGTCGCAATCCATCCAACACATGCCCAGAAGAAATGATCTCCAGCAGGCGCAATTCGATGCTCACATCAGTCTTCTAATCTGAAGCCTTCAGTGGTTCCCTATTTTCTGTTTAAATTAAATCCCAAGTCCTTTGCTATTCAGGGCCTTGCCATATTCTGATCCAAATACTCCCTGCCTTCCAACAAAGTCTTCTGTAGTTCTTTTACTAATACTTTGTGCTTGAGCCAAACTGAATTATCTATGGACTATTTCCTTTTTATGTTCCATGCTTTGCCTATCTCTGAACATTATTCCCCACGGAGTTTCTTTTCCCCACTTTCCTTCTGTTTCAATTCAGTTCTTGCTCAGTCAAAAGCTACTTCTTGTCCTTAGTCTTCTTTCATTGCTTTGGATGGAATAATCTCTTTCTCTTGCTGATCTTCAGTGACACTTATCTGTTCCTCTCTGTGTTTATCACTGTTTAGTTTGTATGGTTATTATTTTGGTACCCATTTTAAGTCTCTTCTAGTGCTTAGTGCTCTACCTTCTGTCTGAAAAATCTTTGCATGTCTTGTAGTGGCCCTGCATGTGTCTTCTTCATAGTTGATGATGATGAAATAGTTTATCTCCTCTCCTGGGGAGAATTGCCTTAGAGGAGACTTTACATCTTGCTCACCAGAGGCCCCTGCAACTGTATCAAGGAGACATGTAAACAGAAAGTGCCTCACACATGTTTCATTGAACAAATGAATGACTGATGAAAGAGTTCCTTAAGTTAACGGTGTAAGAATTGGAAGAGAAGGGTGGTGGTAAAAAAGAAACCTTTAATCTCTGGGATTAAAAATGGCTGTTTAGGATAAATAAATTCACTTGTCACTTTTGAACAGTCATGCTAAAGAAGGAAGTACAATATGAACTAGAGATTTGTGGTGATGTGTGGTCAAGAGAGGTGACCGCTTTTGGAAATGTGCATTGTCCTTTAAAGTGATCATACACTCTGGATTGCTTACGCTGTACCAGTTTATACCTTTTGTTTCAGTGGCACCCTCTTACAGCTGTCTCCTTTTAAGTGCTATTATCTGGCCACCCTATTTATCAAATACCTCTTTGACCTTCTCAGGATGGTGGGTCCCTTTGGTAGTGAAACTTGTGCCATTGGGTTATGTTGGCTGGGGGGAGTATCATTCTCATCTCTGGCACTTACTAGAGATGTGATCAGGACAAGTGACCAAGACGTCTGTAAGCACTCTTATGTGGCTGCTCTGTTCAAAATAGCAACAGTCTTGAATATGGAATTTTTCAGTAATATCCAGGTTTCAGTATTTATAACCCTATCAAGATTTTATCATGGGGAAGATATGTCTGGGGCAGTAGGGAAATAAATATCTCACAGAGTTGTTAAGTCTCTAGGTCTTCCGTATTAGAGATCACACAACTAAATGTAAGGGCAGAGTTCTTGCTACTTGGCTGTTCTAGCTGGTTATCAGTAGAAAGGCTGAAGGTCACAAAAACTGGACTCCAGCTTCATCATTTGTCTCTTCCAGGGAGAAGAGGAGAGCGGGCACAGCAGAGAGTGAGGTTTAGATCTTCCCCTTTACTCTAAATTCCAAGTGTGGTGGACTATAAACCAAGTCTGCATCCAGGATTTCTAGACCTTCTAGTCATCACTAAGAAGGATAAGTGTCTGGATCATAAAATATTAACAGCTGGGAACAGACCACATGAATGCTAAGGAGGGGAAGAAGATCAAATTTATCTGCCAGAAATGTGACTCCTGGTGAAAAAAGTCAAGAGGAATATTTTCCTTAAGTCGGCAGTTGTAGTTGAATGATTAAGAGATAGTTCTGGAGCCAGAGTGCTGAAGCTTAATCATTATTTTCCCACTTTCTAGGCAAAAGATGTTGGTTATGTTATTTAAACTTGTCTCCGTTTCCTTATCTGTACTATGGGTGTTAAAAAAATCTTGTTGGTTGGTTCCTGCAATTAAATTAGTTAATATTGTAGACATGCTAGAACAGTTCCTCATCCATCATTAGCTTGTGTATGCGGTAATTATTACTTAAGCTCTAGAGAGTGGTAAAGTACTCCCCCTTCACTTTATATTTATGTTGACAGGATGGGACTTCTGTGGTGTGTGATGAGTCTCTACTTCTATGGGATCCTGCAAAGTGATGCCTCAGGTAAGCGAATAACTTTTGACAATCTATTAAAATATGAATTGTCTATAGGGTAATGTGTCAAATTTTTCTGAAAAATGTGTTAAGACTACATAAGGTTTATATCCATTGTCTTCTATGGTACCACAGAATCATAGTTGTGACACAATCATCAATTTTGGTGATGATACCTCTAGTCTTCAGGGGACAAAATGTACTTAGGGCAGTGGTCTGGTTTGTATAAATACAGGAATTTTCCATCACCTTCACATCCAAACGAACTAGAATCCTGCTTCTCTCCCTTTACCTCAGGTCCAATGGGAAAAGAAATGACAGTGATGGTAGTAGCATGACTCTGTTTTCCAAACTTCAGCCAGTGGTGGAAGAGGCATTGAGGCTAATAGTCTATTAAGACCTTTTAAGAACAAATGAATAACGATGATTTCTTATCATACTGCTACAATCTAGGAGAACAAGGACCTACAGTTAGGTTCATACCCCCAACCCCACCCTTTGGTTGTTGCTCCTTAAGAGAAACCAACCAAAGCTTGAGTTTGAATTACCAAGCTCAGTCATCGGGTCTGGAACATATGAAATCAGAGTCAGAAGGGATTTGAAAATTCATCTTTCTAGAGCTCCTCTCATCTCCAGAATTACTGCTCAGGACCAGTCTGTGGTAACTCTAACTAGTGATCATCTCATTGCAGTCCATATGTCCTTGGACTGACCAAGTTCTTAGAAAGTTTTTAGTATATATAATTGAAATCTATTTCTGTCATTTCCACATTTCTCTGGTTCAACTCCTCAAATTTCATAGAGGATACTCAGTCCAGTGGTTCTCTAATTTTAATTCAGGGAACCTAGATATCTTCATTTGAAAAAGCTTCTCATGTATAATTCCCCTGAAGACCACAGACAGTACTTTAAATATCATAACTCTAACTCCTCTTCTGCATGAGAGGTCTTCAGAAATGTTAAAATAATGATCGCATAGCCATGACATTGTTTTCCAATATATTTCCTCAATCGTTCTTCACATGGTATGGATTGGAGCCCTTCTCATCCTGATTATCTTTTCTGGGTATGTGTTTCAGTTTTCTATACCACTTAAAGCATTTAATAGAAACCAAAAATAAGACTAAAAGGTGTATAACTAGGACAGAATACAGCTCAAAGCTGAGAGAAGTGGAGATAACTTCCAACCTTGTTGACCCTTTTCACATGGAAAGCATATTTCCTAGTCTGGCTGATATTCAGCTGGGGTACACTAGTACTCGTACACATACAGAGCTCCTGGCTATTTAAACCGGTGTCTGCCCTGCTTGATTGAGTATCCCATTTGACTGGTCAGTGGTGGTGATGTCCTGATTTTTAAATATGTTAAATAAGACCCCTGATTATTATTAGCTCTTATTTGATTTAGTTCAGTGCTTGAATATTATCTGCTTACAGAGGCCTTACTTAACTTAACCACTTTAGCTAAAATAGCCCTCCCAATCACACCTCTCTGTATCTACCTATAGTTTCCTTCCTGACTCATCTCATCATTTCTCGACACCATGTTAACTTTCTCTTGTCTTCTCCTCCTCTGCTTTTCATTCTTTCTGTTCTTTTCCTTCCCATCCTCCTCCTTTCCCTTCTTTTTCTCTCTTTCCCTCCTTCCCTTTCTCCTTTCATCCCTATTTCACTGCTTGTAAATGGTCCAAGGACAGGAACTTAGCCTCTTTGTTTTTTAACCCAAATACTTGGAATAATGATTGGCACATAGACACATAGTAGGTATGCACTCTCTCTTTCTATTTATATATTATAAATAGATGGATATATGTGTGTATATATATATCCATATATATGTATATATATGTGTATGTATATATATGTATATATATGTATATATGCATACACACACACACACACAAACACACACATATTATAAATGGATGGAAAAAAAGTCTTTTCACTTCCCCTTTGCCAAAATTGGCCAATTTTATAATGGGACTTGTTTGGATTCATGCCAGTAATTCATCAATGTAGTTTTATGTCCTGCCTTACCTAGAAGGAAAAGGGAGAGGTGATGATGTTATTCTTGTTGAGATATGAGTGACATCCCAGAAGTTTCTGGGCACTGGTGTCTCTCCAGTGGTCCTGTCAGTGTTGCCTTTCTGAATGACCTTTACTGTAATCCATCCAAGGAGGTTCCCTACCCCCACCCCAAATGCTATTGGAAAGTGAGCTTTCTACCCAGGAACTGTGACTCATAATTCTGCCAGGGAAACTGACTTCTTGAATAAGATAAGTTCTCATACCAGTCCCATTGAGTCACCATGGGAGCAGGAAACATGTTGTAATCCCCTCAGCCCATCTGGCACATACTCATTTGCCTTCCTTATGAAAAGGTGTATTGTGTCTGTGTCAGTGATGCACTTCCTAGTTGGAGGAAGAGGAACAAAAAGGAAGTGTTGTTGACAAAAATAAAAGGGACGACTAACTCTGAGCTACTAGGGGACAGAGGGACCATTGCGTATTTTGAAGGAATCAATGAACCTCTCGCACATCAAGGTATCACTTCTTACAATGATATAGATGTTGGCAGACTTGTTGGCCTTTCATGAGGTTCTTCTTGGGCTTTAGGTACCCATATTAATAGAATCACAGATTGATGTGAAGAACAAAGAAGAAATAACCAGAAAACTCTAAAACAATGTACATGCATATGATATTAGTAGGAGTTTTGTCTGGTTGTTCTGGGCCTTTTTACATGGACCCTTTTCTTAAGAAAGGCCCACATTTTAAAAAGAGACCATATGAACATAAGAGCTTTAGTTTCAAGTAGTTTTTTTAAATTTATTTTTTAAAATTTTATATATATATACATACATGTATATATATATAATTTTATTTTTGAGAGAGAGAGAAATAGCATAGGCATGAGTAGAGGTGGGGGGGGGGGAGCAGAAAAAGAGGTAGCGGGAGAGAGAGAATCAAGCAGACTCCCCCATGGAGTGCAGAGCCCAATGTAGGGCTTGCTCTCATGACCCTGAGATTATGACCTGAGCACAAATCAAGAGTTAGCTACTCAACCAACTGAGCTGCCCAGGCACCCCCATGCAGTGTGTTTTAAGTGCAGTGAACTGGACTTTAAGGCCCAGAATTCTGACTCTAGAACACAGTCTTTCTTGTAGCAGTACTGTGATTTCATTATTCATTCAGAAAAGTGGGAGCAACATTTCCATCTCAGGTGTCCATATAAGCAAATACTTAAAAACAAGCATTTACTTTTAAGGAATTAAAGCTTGGATAATTATAATGGTGGTGGTATAACTATAATGTGGTAGTTATGTGATAATAAAACTTCCTTTGCTGAAAAAGCACTTTGCATTTTGCATTTTCAATGTCATTTGACTCTCACACCCAAACTATAGTGTAGTCAGGCTGTTGTAACCCAATTTTTGGGAAAAGAAACTTAAAATCAGAGTAGTTAAGTGAATAACCCAAAGTCACATAGCTAATATGTAATATAACTGTGACTTCAACTAGTTCTTTCGTTCTCAAGATGCATGCTATTTTAGCTAAATATACTCCTCTTGGACTGCACTAGGATATATACATTTTTTTTTTTTTTTTTTAAGATTAAGATCCAAGAGGTCACAGGTTCTGCTAACTGTTAAGGAACCTTTCAGTAATAGATTTCTGTGCTTTTTATTTTTATTTATTTATTTTTTTTAAAGATTTTTTATTTATTTATTTGTCAGAGAGAGAGGGAGAGAGAGCAAGCACAGGCAGACAGAATGGCAGGCAGAGGCAGAGGGAGAAGCAGGCTCCCCGACGAGCAAGGAGCCTGATGTGGGACTCGATCCCAAGACGCTGGGATCATGACCTGAGCCCAAGGCAGCTGCTTAACCAACTGAGCCACCCAGGCGTCCCTTCTGTGCTTTTTAGATAAGAAGTATCTTCCCTCCCAACTCTCCTCCTTAGGTGGTTTCTTCAGAAGAAAAATCATTATAATGTAAGCTCAAAATTAAATATTCCTATTTTTGCTTGTTATGGTATTGAATATTTCCAATACTAAACTCAAAGTTCTGTTTTGCCAGAATTCTGAAAGCAAACTTGTCACACATTTCTCCTGTGGTGTGTTCCATTGCCAGCATGTTAGAAAGTTGAACTGTTAAAACTGCCTTTACCGTAGAAAGAAATATTTGCAACTTGTGATTCCAAGTTAGGGAGAGGGTGAGAATGGTACAACATATAATATGGTGAATTAAAAAAAAATTACCACATCAAAATTATTTGTTACAGATACCACATTAAAAAGAGCAATGCATTTTCTTTCCCAAGTGCGCAAACACACACACACACACACACACACAGACCTTTGAATATAGCTTTTTATTTCAAAGTCAATGAACAGTTGACAGTGTGCCAGGTGCGGGATTAAATTTCACACACATTATCATTAATGTCACCGAAGATGCTGGGGGCTGGAGCTGGAGGGATGAGTAGAGAGTCTTAAACACATTTTATAGTTCAGGAAAAGAAGAACCAGGGAAGTGACCCAAGATAACAGTGCTCATGGTGGCATGTCTGATAGAGCTAGGTTTAGAAGGCTACCTCAACTCCAAAAGAGAGCCCTTTTCTTTAAATGGTATTGCCTTCTTTTTGGACTTTGTTCTGCTAATAGCTATTAGATCCCATGATTTCATTTCCGTTAATTTTGAGGAATTTGCAGAGGGTAGAAATACTCCTTTGGCTTATTGAGAGTGAATAACACTACGTAAAACAAACAAACAAATAAATAAATAAGTAAAAGCACTGGTTTACCAAGAATCAAGAGTCATTGCTTGACATTCTGAGTGTTTGACTTTATAGGTATTTAATACTTTGAAGAAGTCATTTAATCACCCATCAGTCACTATGACCTTACCTATAAACCCAACCAACCAATCAACAATAGCAAAGCTCTGGCCAATTTTGCTTTCTTGCTTTTTTATTAAAGAGCATTCTGGACATTATTCTATATCATGGAC